AAAAGAAAAATGAGGAAGAACCCAATAGAGGGATGCTTTTGGAAGCCCTTGTCAAGAAACTCCAATGAAACTCTCATATGAACATGTGAAAATTTCCCTGTTCTGACTTTTTTCTAGTTCCCTGTCTAGAACTTGTAATGCTAATCACTCTTGCCTTTACTTCTCCTTCACATCTTCCATTCATGATTCAAGGACTTTCTTCTCCCCTTAGAGACAAAAGTGATGCAATTTGGCAGTCTTTTAGATAGACCCACTGAAGGGGTACTCCAGTTGCCTCACCCTGTGTCCCTGTTCAGCATGGAAGAAGCCAGAGCGGTCTGCGTCCCTATTCCCTATTGGAAATTTGGGTAACCCCTTCAGAGGATGGCGTGATATGAATAGGAGGTAGGAATTGACTAGGCAGTTAGGGAAAAAAGACCAGTTTCATGGCTAAAAGTCAAAATGTCCTTGGGCCTGTTAGCAACACATTATGTTCCAAGGCCAAAAATGTCAAAAGTATTTGGGAGCTTGTATCTAATCCTTAAAAGATTTTAGGGTTACCTCTTCAGAGGGGGGAATGTTGGAGGGGAGGGAGTGGGCATGGATTTGATCAAAACATCTTATATGCATGTATGAAATTCTCAATAAAGTTTTTGTAAAAATTAAAAATAATAAAAAGATACAATGACAAAATTTTTTTTTTTTTTTTGAGACAGGGTCTCCCTATAGACCTTGCTGGCTTAGAACTATGTAGACTAGGCTGGCCTCAATCTCAGAGAGATTCACCTGCCTCTGCCTCCCCAGTGCTTGGGATTAAAGGTGTGTACCATTATGCTTGAGTAAACATGAGTTTGATCTTTGTTCATGGTGGCCAATGACAAAGATTTTACCTTCAAAATAACAATAGAGATTTGTAAATTACCTTGGAATTTAAATTCAAGAGAACCATGCAGGAAGTTACACGAGAGAGGTTACCAAAGAAGGTTACCAAAGGCAGTAAAAGGTGTGACTAACAGGGAAGGAGATCACATCACCAAATGGTAATGTAGCATTATGTTCTCAAAACTAATTCATGAGTTTAATGTAATCCAGTTAAACATCCAACAGAAATTGCTCTGAAACTTGACAAAGTGATTCTAAAGCCCAGCTCTGGGGAATTTTCCCATCATGTACCCTTCAGGGACTGGACACCCATTTTGTAGCATCACAGTCTCACATGTGCAGTAGACCAGGCCTCCATATACTCCTCTACCCAGCCAACAATCACATTGACATGGACAAATCAGATGTGGGTGAGAACTTGGAGTGGCCAATGGAGTGGAAACTGGTGCCCAAACATCAGAGAATTAGAACTGCAGGGAGCTGGGGTGCCAGAAACATCGACCTCACTGTACCTTACTTTGCAACTTCCTGTGAACCTGTACTTCAAAATAAAAAGTAAGCAAACTATGATGATGATGGTGATGATGATGATGTGTGTGTGTGACAATAAAACTAACTTCTTCCTGTACCAATCAAAAATGAATTAAAAAAATTTTAAGTTGGGCCGGGTGTGGTAGCTCACACCTTTAATCCCAGCATTCAGGAGGCAGAAGCAGGCGGATCTCTGTGAGATTGAGGTTAGCCTAGTCTACACGGTGAGTTCCAGACCAGCTGTGGCTAAAGGAGACCCTCTCTCAAAAAGAAAAATAAAATTGTTTTTAATTTAAAGGCATTAAAGGGACAATTAGAAGTAACTAAAAATGACTGTGCTTTACTACTAAGAACCTTCTCAAAAACAGTTTCTAAAGGATGGATGTCAAGAAGATGCAATGCCCAATTTTAATCAAAAAAATTTTTTTTGTGTATTTGTGTGTGTGTGTGTGTGTGTGTGTGTGTGTGTCCCAATGATGGTTATATAGAGGTCAGGGAACATCTGTGGGAGTCCGTTCTCTCCTTCCACTATGTGGATCCCAGCATTGAACTCAGGCCCTCAGCCTTGGCAGCAAGACCCTTTACCCACTGAGCAATCTTACCACCTAAGAAGCTGAATTTTTGTATGTACTTATGGAAAACTACTTAGGAGCATCAGGAGGGATAACAGCAAGTAACGGACGGATTTGATTTCCTAAAAGAAGTTGAACTAGTTAAAATATTTCCTTTCAGAAAACACTGGAATAAAAAACTGCTTTATGTAAGCTATTCTATTTTTAAAAAAAGGAACAGGTCAGTGAAATCTTCCAAGGAAGAGATAAACAGAGTGAATTCTTGCTAATTTATTCTATAAAGCTATCATTATGTTGATACCAACATCAGAGATGGGCAACACGAGAAAGGAAAATTACATAGCACGGCCACATTGGGTTTGAACCTGAGACACAAGATATTTATTTATTTATTTATTTATTTTTGAGACAGGGTCTCCCTGTAGCCACAGCTGGCTTGGAACTCTCTATGTAGACCAGGGTGGCCTGCATGTCACAGAGATCTGCCTGCCTCTGCCTCCTAAGTGCTGGGATTAAAGGTGTGTGTCAGCATGTCTGGCAAGGATCTTCAAATACTAGAAAAAAAACTACAATTCATTTACCATATCAATAAATCAAAGGAGAAAAAAAAAGCCATAAGACCATCTCAATAGTTGCAGAAGAAACTTTGGTTAAAAGTCAGTATTCATGCATGGTTAAAAAAACTGGCATATAAGAAATAGAAAGGAATTGTTCTGTGTTTCCCATACAGAGGAAGAAAAAGCTTTCCCTGTAAAGACAAGAACAAGGCACGCTGTCTCCATGCCATTCTACATCGTCCTAGAGACAGCTGGGACAAGGATGGGGCAAGCACAGAAGTGTGAGCAGCTCTTTCAACTTGTATTCTGTGCCCCACGCTGGCCTGACCCTCAATCTGGCCCTAGTACAGAGACTCTAGCCAGTGCTGGTCAACAGACAGAGACATTAGAAACCAAATGGCTAGAAAATAGCAAGTTGTACCACATCAGGGATTGAGACAGCACCTGCCACAGAGGCACACATTCTGTCCCCAGCAGTATGATGGGTGTGAACAGAGATACCAAGTGCTGGCTGGTCACAAGAGCAGCCTCCAGAGGACTGCATAGGGCCTTTCTGCTGTGTCACATGGGTGGTGCCATTTAACCTTTTCCACCCTCAGTTTCTTCCTTTGTGGAGCTGGTGTCATGGGTTAAATGAGATGATGACTATGAAGCCCTTACCACAGTGCCTGCCACCAGGTAAGTCAAGAATACTCATTCTCCTCTTGTGTACTTACTCGATCTTGGGCACACAGTGAGGCAAGGGAGGTCCAGGGCAATGTGCAAGTGTGCATTAGGTGAGGTCAGACTCAGGCTTGCTTCCCAAGGCCTTGTTGGGTCTTTTACTCTCTGTTCCCTGGGAGACCACATGGTCTCTGTGCTCCTGCTTTTATGGGGGAATACCCGTGCCAGGACCAGAAGGTTCTAGAGGTCCACTCCCTTATGTTGCAATTGTGGGCCTTCCTAGTTTCTTCCTGGCTGACAGGGCCCTTTTGGATGATATGTTTGTCAGGACCCATCCTTGCTGTGGTTGATGCATGGGATGGTGGCCAGGTGGTCAGGCCAAGTGGAATCATGTGTCCCCACCTCTGACTATAGAAGGCTTCTTTACTTGTGCTGATTGAACTCAGAGGAATGAAGACACTGAGTTCAAGTGCCTTCAGCGCTATCGCCAGGCTCGGGGAGAATGGACCCTGTGGATGCAGGCATTGGAGCTTGAGCACATGTGGAAGTTGCTGGAAAAGATTTTTTTTAGTAACATCCAGCCCAGGGTCTTGCACATGCTAGATAAATGCTCTAGCACTGAGCTATGTCCACCCCCTCCATTTTTTTTTTCTTTTTTTTGAGACAGCATCTCGCTATGTAGCCCTGGTTGGATTGGAACTTGCTATGTAGATTGGGCTGGCCTTGAACTCACAAAGATCTGCCTCTGCCTCTCAGGGGCTGGGATTAAAGGTGCACATCACCATACCCAGCTTCCCCTTGTTTTTTTGAGACAGGATTTTGCTATACTGTAGTCCTGGCTAGTCTTGAACTTATGATCCTCCTGCCTCAGCCTCCTGAGTGCTGGGATTACAGGTGTATACACTGGCTCAATCTCCCTCTTTCACACAGCTATCTACTATTGTGCAGCAATGGAAGGCACATGCTGCCACATGCCAATCAGGAGACCCTTCCAGAGCTTTGGCTTCTCAGACTCTCAAATGTGAGAGAAGCCCCCATCTCTCAGGGCTGGTACAACTTTAAATGGGATTTCTATGCACACAAAGCATAGTGTTAAGCAGTTATGGGAAAGATTAGAGGCTACTTTTATTAAAGAACTTTGCAAGTGCTCCCCATAGCCATGAATCTTCCTCAGAAGACTCTGAGGTCTGTTGGGTCCACAGTTCTAAGAGAAGAGATCCTGGGCGTGCGTGCCTGCGTTTGTGAAATGCACCAGCCTGAACTTAGTGCCTATTCAGTCAGCTGAGGCCCTTTCTGCTGCATACATGGGGCCACTTTCCTGGTTTGGTGTTTGGTCCCCTATTGACTGCTCTCCCCAGGAAAGCCATTGGTGGAGGGAGTTCTGGGAGGAGGATCCTGGAGGAGCCAGATACAGGGCAGTCTGGATCTTGTCTAGGGATGCTCTCAACCCCTTTGCTCAAACCAGCCTTGTTTCCAGCAGCTCTGGGGCCTCCATATTCTCCATTGCTACTTTCTATGGACCATCTTACTTATCATGAAAGGCAAGGGGGTGGCTAGGATACTATGTCATCATTTCTGAGGTAGTTGAAACTGCTGGGTCTGAAGAGATGACTCAGCAGTTAAGAGCACTGGCTGTTCTTGCAGAGGACCCAGGTTCGATTCCAGCACCCACAAGGTGGCTTACAACTATCCCTAACTCCAGTTCCAGGGAATCCAGTGCCCTCTTCTGTCTAACTTAGCAGGCATTGCACAATTTGGGTGCACTTACACACATGCAGGCAATACACTCACACACATAAAATAATAAAATATTTTAAAAAAGAAACTGCTAGACAACATTTTGGGGAGTCCAGAAGGGTCTGGGTAATGTACATATCAGAGGGAAGCTGTCTGCCACTTTCCAGACTCATTTTAATGCAGAGACAAGGATAAAAAATGGTTTCTGTCCTTTGTTTTGAAGCCTTCCTTCCTGTTCATCCTTTCTGCTGCTGGCTGGCCATGATCCCTGCTCTGAGGGGACTCCTGGTGGTAATCACACATCTAAGGAGGCTCCTTAGGAGTCACTGATGGCCAAGTGGCTCTGGATGGCTGTCCCAGTTGATCTTCACATACACCTTCCATGATTACTTGTTTAACAGATGAAGAAACTGAGACTGAGGAGAAGCAAGCTAGCCTTCAGTCACAGGGCAGCAGTACTGCGGAGGGTCTGGTCCCTGCTGGGTGTTTGGCCTGCCCTCCATTCAGCCCCTTGGTGGCCCTGCCGAAAAGAAACCTGGCAGAAAGGCGCTGCCCACACGCTTGTACTCACGTCATTGAAGTGCTTTGTGGTCTTCATGATGTAAGGGGTCCTTTCGTTTTTCTCTACCTTCATCCAGCCCTGTCCGAAGAACTCCCTGAAGGAGAAGGGGGAGCCCAGGGCAGACAAGATTAGCTCTGCCTTGCTCATTTGGTACTGGATCACTTCTTTGCTTTTTGACGTAGTCATTTCTGGGAGTGGGGGGCAGCCCTTTGCAGAGGCCTGGAGAGGAAGGAACCCTGAGCGCGAACCTAGCTCTGTGCTGTGCTGTATCACTGAGAAGGTTTCAGGCAAGCCTTTTGTGTCTCAGGCCCTTACCTTCTTTATCTGTAACATGGGAATAGCAGAAACACTTTCCTCATAGGGCCATCATGAGGGTGAGGAGAAATAAGGTACGAGAAGGCAGATCATCAGCTGCGTAGTGGGCAGGCACATCAGGTTTTACTATGGATCCTGTTTTTGTACTTTAGTCACTGGTCTGTAGAAGAGATGTCATGGAAGGCCACAAAAAGGGTTCCATAGAAGAGCTTGTACCTAGCATGCATGGGTTCAATTCCCAGCATAACACAAGAAAGGGGACACAAAAGAGGGCCAGATAAAAGGACAAAGGAATAGAAGAACCTGCAAATCAGTCCAGCAGTGTGTTCTGGTACAGGGGACCTCATGGAAAGCCACAGACTGCCAAGGCTCCTGACTGGACAAAGTGGTCATGAAAGGAGCCTGGGCAGAGGCCCACAGGCTGATGTGGCCAGGGGAAGTGACATCTGTGAACAATCATCCTGCTTCCACATCCTGGGATGTGCTGGTTTCCAGGCCAACCCTGCCAACGGGAGGGCTGCACTCATGCTCACGGGGCTCTAAGCATGCCAGCTCCCCCATGGAAGGCAGACCAAAACCCCTGGTGATGTTGGGAAACTTTTATAGAACAATTGTTGGAAATTCAGAGGAAAATGTACTTGGGAGAATGTTTAGTTCAGCTTTAGAGATAAAACTGAAACCGAAAATTACCCCAGCTTAATAATACACTGTTAGGGAACACTGCACACATTAATAGTGTTTATAAAGGCTGTGATGCTTGTTAGATGAAGAGAGAGGGACACAAAATTATGGAGGTTTAATTATAGTGAATACCAGGGTGACTATCAACAGGCCAGGGCGGGACAGACAGTAGCAGGCCTCAGGCATCATCCAAGTTCAGAGCCAGTCCCAGAGTATACTCCTAGAGGTATATGTACACACACACATGTATGCACACACACCCACACTCTCCTGCCTCTGTACCTACAGAAACATAGACTCTCTGTACCTCCAGAAAGGAATTCTGAAATAGAGATATTTCCAGAAAAGTGTGTATTGGGGTGGGGGAAGGGCTATGTGCAGGCACATGCATAGGTGATAGGTAAAGAGAGAGCAGGAAAGGAATCCATGCATTTTCTTTGCAAGCCATGGAGAGTCCACACAGCTAGAGTCAGGGATGTGCTGAGGAGGGAGGAGGAGGGAGAGGGGTGGGCACCTGTACCCACTTACTCATAAGGAATCTTCTTGAACACCAGGTGGTCCAGCAGGGTCAGCTGCTCTGCAATCTCCAGGGCTGAGTGGTTTTCAAAGGGTTCAGCCTTCATGCCCTCTGCCTAAGGGAACAAGGTCGGGAGTCAGGCCCATGAAGGAATACATACCTCTGGGCTTCTGGTTCTTTTCTGAGATCTCTGCTCCATTCTGGAGGGTGGGTGGGGTAAGGAGGGAGCTGTACTCCACTGCTTGTTGCACTGTGTGTGTGTGTGTGTCCGTGTCCGTCCATGCTTCCAGAAGATTCTCCTTTGAGTAGTCCACTATTTATCTTGTAGGAGGCTACAACTACCCACATAGGAAGGAAGCTAATGTCTGCCCAAACTGCTTAGTTAGAAACAGGCTGGTTAGGGCCTGAGCTCAGAAATCTGACTCCAGCTGGCATGGGTCACTCCCTTTGGGATCTGTCTGGCCCTAGGCAGGTTCAACACCATTTCTCTTTGAAACTCATTAACAGGTGTTGGCTCCCAGGTATGATTAGCTCCTGAGGCAGTGCTCCAGTCTGGTGAGCAGAAGGCAGACATCTGGCTCAGTCCTCGTGTTCTTGGCTTATGGGGATCACTTGTGGATATTACCTTTAGAAGTATCTGCCACCTGGGCCTCCTTGACCAGGGAACATCCTTAGTGAAACATTGACCAGGGACAGGGGTGCCCATGGCAGGGTTTAGATGAAAGTTGACGTGGGGAGGCTGATGAAAGTCCTTACAGAAGGTCTGTTAGATTTGGGAGTAGGGAAGGGGAGGGGAAGGGAAGAAGGGAAAGGGACAGCTGTGTGGGCCTTGGGAGGAGCCTGTGTCCACTGAGGGATGAGCCAGAAAAAAAGGGTCCTTTGTGCCCTTGAGGGTTGCTGGGTCATACAGGATGAAAGAAGTGGCCATGTAGCAGAATGGCCCTGCCAACTGCTCATGACTTCTGTTTTCTTATATTTACCTCACTCCGTCCAGAAGTTCCAGCAGCTGGCTGAGTGCCCAAGCCACCCATCTCCACGGATCAAAAGGAAGTGGGGTCCACCCATGCCCAGGGAACATGCTATTCTTTGAGGCTAAGTGTTTGCCCCGCTCCCATTTCTTCTGCAAATTGTGAGGTCTGTATTGCCAGGCCCTTGTCAGACACTGGAGACATGAAGATCTGTAAACAGAGCCCTAGTTTCGGGGAGCTCAGGCTCAGGGTGTTCACTATGCTGGTGGAGCAAGAACAGTGTGGAGCAATAGCCTCTAGGTGTGGTAGCAGACCATCATGGGTATTTCCTGGCAGAGTCACCAGGGCAGGGAACAGAGCCCAGACACAAGAGTGTGGGTGTGGGGAACATGAGGCTCTTGCAGAGGACACGTTCTTAGGCAGAGGGGATGTGGGTGCAAGGGGCTCTGAGTGGCTGGGCTGCACACGACAAGGCCCCTGTAGCAGCCGTTCTCCTGTGTGCTTTCTCAGTAAATGAATGACTATAGCTGGGCAGCTCAGTCACAGGTGGTACTGAGGGTCTTGTGCATGTGTTTTGGCTGTGTCCAGGATGGCAGAGCTGTCAGGACCAAAGGGAATCTGGGTGATCAGGCTGGAGTATGGCCCAGTGACCCAGTGGCTCTAGGCCAGGGGGTATGCTGGGAGAGAGGGGCTGGTGGCCTTCTGCTCACTTTTGGTGGGGCCCAGGAAAGAGGGTGACTCTGTAAGTAGAAGTCAGAGATGACAACTTCTGTTACTGTCCATAAGGATTTGTGTGGCAAACAGCCTCTTTCCTTCCTGCTGAGGCCACTGGCCTCCCCTATACTGAACCTGCCCTCCATAAGTTCTGGGGACACTGTCAGGACTGGAGATGAGTGGAGATGGGGCTCAGTGGCCCTTTGTTCGGGAGGAGACCCAGGCTATTCACACAGGAAAAGGGCACTTGTACTCAAGAGGGTAAACACTCCAGCCAGGCTCCTGTTGGTAAACAGGAACACAGGGCATTCTTTCCACTGGAGAGGTCACAGGGAGGGCTATTCTAGCATCCTGACCCCAAGTGGTATCTGGTGCTATGACCTTCCCTGCCATGGCGGCTACATGGGTTCTAGGCTGTCCAACAGCACTACTTTTGGGACAGGATGTGGGCAGGGTGCTGTGGTCCATGGGTGGCTCTACCTGAATCTGGGGTGGTGATGAGAGGGGAGAGGAGTCAGTGCTTGAGTCCCAAGTCTTCACACTGGCTACTGCTAACACACCAGAGGTCACTAGCCAGCCTGGAGTTAAGTCAGCAAGGCACCAAATCCTGGGGAAGTCAGAGTGAGTCTGTCTTGAGCATCTCCGACCACTATAATTCAGAGGCCAGGAACCTTGGAGTGGCTTGAAAAGGCATTCTGGATGCTTTAGCCAACTACGCATCAGAACATGAGGCCATCATTCCCTTATGGCATGTGGAATGCCATCCTTACCTCATGTTCTTTAAAGGTGAGCACAGCACTCCCCTGGGGTCCTGTCATTTCTGGGTAGGCTTGGTGAGTACATCCTGACTCCTCAGAATGAGGCCACATAGTGCAGGGAGTGAATTTAGCTCTGGGGTCAGCTGGACCTGAGTGCGAACAGTTTGCCTCACTACCACATCCCACATGCAACCTTGAGTGGGTAGTTTAGGCTCTCTGTGCCTTGGCTGACTCATTGGAAGATGGGGTAACAATGCAATCTTGAACCTCACAAGAGTTTTCAAGAGTTTAATGTGATCTGGCACACAGGCAGCCATCTTTCTCAGAAGTATGACAGACAGACAGAAGGGAGGGATAAGGTGGGGTGGTGACGAGGGACAGAGGACTAAGAAAAGGGAAGTGGTGGTGTTACAAGTTAAGTTTTGTTCCCTTTTTTTGTTTTTGGTCTTTTTGAGACAGGGTTTCCCTGTAGCCCCAGCTGGCCTAGAACTCACTATGTAGACCAGGCTGGCCTCACAGAGTGCCTCCCGAATGCTGGGATTAAAGGTTTGTGCCACCACACCCGGCTAAGTTTTGTTTCTTAATAAAGGGACAATTCCTAGCATTTGGTACTTGTCTAGAGTCTTTGCCTATGTAATGAATTTATGATGAGGCCAGCAGGGTGGGCTCTAATCCAATATACCTGGTGTCCTTTTAAGAAGGGAAACATGGGGGCTGGAGAGATAGCTCAGTGGTTAAGAGCATTGACTGCTCTTGCAGAGGACCTGGGTTCGATTCCCAGCACCCACATGGCTGTCCTTAACTCCAGTTCCAGGGGAATCCGAAGCCCTCTTCTGACCTCTGCAGCACTGCACAACACAGGTGCACTCACATACATGCAGGCAACACACTCATACACATAAAATAAAAAAAATAAAATATTTAAAAAAGAGAAGGGAAACGTGGACATGGTGGACACAGACATAGACAAAGCAGGATGATAATGTGGGGACACAAGCAGAAGTGGCCCCAGGCCCATGGAGGAAGGGTTGGAGTGGTACAGGTAGGAGCTGAGGGGTGCACACGGTCACCAGCAGCTGGGAGAGGCAAGTGAGGGTCCTTCTGTAGAGCTCTGGTGGGAAGCACGGCCCTGTAGATACCTTCACTCCAGACTTCCAGCTGCCAGGGCTGGGATACAAAACACTTCCTGGTTTGTCACATTTAGTTAATGAAGCCTCAGGAAATGGGTGCAGGTGATGCCTATGCTTCATCAGGGGGTCATGGAGTCAGGAGAGCAGGGAGGACACTGCTTGGTGAGGTGTGGGCCTGCTCACCATCTGAGTGATCTCTTCCAGTGTAATCTGGTTGTCACCTGGGTCCTCCTGGGTCAGAGTCCTAGGGAGAGGAAGGCAGGTAAGCTACAGGGCACCTTTCTGGTAGTCCCTCCCTAGCTGTCTCCCAGGTCTCCTGACCCTTGCTTACCCCCTTTCCTGGAGGCCCTATCTCTCTCTGCTTCCAACTTACTTCTGATGGTTCTGACTCTCCTGGCTGGGTGGTCTCCTTCTGGAGCTCCCTGAGCCTCTGGGCATCCAATGAACTGTTGCTTATGTGCCTGGTCCAGGAAAGACCCGGGCAGGGGCTTTTGAGGTCAGAGCTGGGCCTGTAGCAGGTGCTTCTATGTACATATGGAATGAAAGGATGCACATAGTAAAGCAGTGCCAGGCTTGGAGGACCAGAGTGGACAGGAGATGCTTCCATATGGGATCCCTCTCAGGCTTGGTATGATAAAGAGGATACAAAGGGAAGGTGACACAGCAGGATGGAGGCCCATAGGTCCAAGGTAGGACTGTGTCCAGTGAGAAGTGAGAGAAAATGTAACAGAGCTAAGTAGAGTGGGCCCTGAGCATTAGTGGAAAGTGAGGGTGGACCCCCACCCTGAAAATTAGGTCCAAGGGCCTTTGCTTGGGACTCATGGGCATGATCTGTGACTACTGGGGGGCACAGGAGTGGGGCTCTCGGGGAAAGATTGAGAACCAGGCCTGGAGAAGCAGTGAGAGGTCTTTGCAGCCTGGCTGGAGGGAGTGGCATTCTGCCTAGGGATCAGCCCTGGAAGAATATGCTAGTGCAGGAATTAGGCCTGCGATAAGTCGCTTTCCTGAGGGCCCACAGCAAGAGCATGGTGGGTCTGCAATTCAGACCAGGGCTTTACTTCAGGCCTGCTCTTTCACTGCATTCAGAAGAAACATCCAGAACAAGCTGTCAAACCCCAAGGGGGGTCAATCCATGTGATCAGCAGCTCAACACACTCTGATGGGCTTCCCATGGAGGGAGACTTCAAGGGCTTGGAGCTGCCTGTGTGCATGAGTCAATCTCTTTCTCTCTCTCTCTCTCTCTCTCTCCCCCCCCCCCAACCCCATAAATGTGTAAGAAGAATACCAAGGATGAGAGAGGCTTGAAGGGCCTCTTAGGACTGTAAACATGGGGGGAGTGATGGGGTCTGTACATGGGATCTTGCGATAGGTAAGTGGCTGGCTGGAGGAGGCAGGAGAAGCAGGAAATGCCTAAGCTGGACTTGGTAGAAAGTCTGGGGCAGAAGCAATGACAGGGCATAGAGGTGGGTAGCTGGGAGTGAGGAGGAGAGGCCTGTATGCTTCTTCCTAGGCTTGACTGGAGAAGCCAGCCTGAGTGGAAGGATGAGATCAGTACAGTGGCTGGTGGGCCTGGGCCTGGGCCTGGTATCTCCTGAGCAGAAGCCACACGTACCATGTCATCTGAGCCTGCATTCCCCCTTGAAGGCAAAATTGTTCACCCATTTTATAGAGGAGAAAATAAGGTCTGGTTAAGCGCCTTGCTCTGGTCAACAGTGTGTTACTGACTGAGGCAGCTCAGATGTCTGGGCCTTGGCCTCTGCCAGGAGAGGCAAGCTGGGAACAGGGACAGCATAGGTATGGGGACAAACAATTTAGCTGAGTTCAATACAATAGACGTTTCTTAAGCAACCATGAACAGGGTTTCACCAGCACTGTTCAATAGAACTCTCTACAATGAGGGGCTGGGCTGTTTAATATAGAGCCTCTAGCTCACTGAAGCTCTAGGGACTGAAGACAGTTGAATTGGCAATTTTATTGTATTATATTTTAGTTCACTAAGATTTAAATAGCTGTATGTAGCTAGTGCCTACCACACTTAACAGCACAGGTTAGAGAGGCATTAGCAGCCGTGGACATACATGGAGAAGTGGTACAACTCTCTCTCTGTCTCTGTCTCTGTCTCTCTCTGTCTCTCTGTCTCTGTCTCTTTCTCTCTCTCTCTCTCTCTCTTCCAGGGGCTCATGTAGTACAGGCTAGTCTATGCTGGCCTTACTATGCAGCCAGAGAGGACCCTGAACATCTCACCCTTCTCCCTCCACCTCCCAAGTGCTGAAATTACAGCCCAAGTACTGGGATTACAGACATACACCACCATACCTTGTTTATGTGATTCTGGGGATTGAACACAGGTTAGGCAAATCCTCTATCAACTGAGCTACATTCCCAGTCTTGCCCAAGATTACGGTCTAGTGAAGGGTGGGAAGATGGGAGGGATGTGTACATAAAGTACCTACTTTGAGCCTAGCGGGGTCCACAGCTCTTAGGGCCTATGTCTACCCTGACACACTTCCTGCTCAGGCTGTCCTGCCTAAGAGGGACCCTCCCCACATCTCTGGTCTCAGGCTGGCCACTTTGGAGGCAGAGGGCAGGACCCTGTCCCAGTAGGTCACCTTGAGCAGGGGAACCATGCTGCCCTTACCTGATGATGTTGGCTGCTGCCTTCCGTTCCTGTGTTAGGAGCTCTGGGTCATGCACGACTTCCTCCAGGAAGCTGATCATCTTGGATTTGAGCTTCTTATTGGTTTCAAAGTCCTGTGGGAAGAGGAAGGGTGACTCTGGCTACAGATGCCAGGCTTCCCTGACCCAGGATGGAGGATGTAGTTTCTACTTCTGACCATGGTGGCTGCCCTGCCTTCCTGTCTTCTCACTACTTCCTGGCAGGCCACAAGTGGGGCTTCAAGCCTGTTGGGCACAGGGCACTGGGACAAGACCAAAGACCGTCCCTCAGCTGCCATGCCTCTAGGTCAGAGAGGCCCAAGTCTACCTGTACCCCAGCTGCAGACAGGTGGCCAAATAGAGGCCTCTTGTCTTCCTGACTGTTCTTGTTTCCCTCCTAGGGGATCTGAACAGGCCTTTCTGGGGATACTGGGGTCTCCTCCCTTCTGCTGCCCCATCGTCGTTTACTGACCACAGCCACTCTGGAAGTAGGTTTTCCCTGGAGCAGCGTCCCATCAGGGTCGGCTCCCACACACCTGCGAGTGCTTGGAGACCCAGTGGCGGAGTACATTCAGTACACGGTTGGTGGCAGCTCTTCGGATCACAAATTCCTTGTCCCCATTCCTCTGGTCAGGGGGAAACCCTGGTGTTGCGAGTGTTAGAAGGGAGAGAAAGGTAAGAGGCAGATCTTGCTTAGCAGACCTGGTTCATCCACGGCTCCTCCTCACAGCTGTGGGAAGGAAGCACTTAACAGGGCTCAGATCCATATGAGAGGCCATGAAGCCTCTGGTTTGTCAATATCCAGCCTCTGCTACACCACTCCATCTGGAAGATTCAGGAAGCCTCCCCCAACAGGACTACACAGGCCACCCAAAACCAGAGCTCCCCAGGCCCTCTAACCTTTGCTGTGGTACCGCTGCTGTGGAAGTGGGTGGTGGGAGGGTGGGTGCCCAGGGCTCTCTCGGTTGACAGTCTTGGCTGTGAGTAGAATTTGGCCAAGGAGCAAAGGGGGCTGGGTGGGGAGAAGGGGACTCCAGGACGGCAGGACAGCACTGGCAGGGCCTGCAGGAAGAGTGGGGGGCGGAGTGGTAGCAGCAGTTCAAAGTGGATTGAAGGGTGGGCAAGTCTGTGTGTGGGGTTGTGGGGAGGGAGGGGCAGCTGGAGCTAAAGTCACAGGCTAGGGGGTGACAAGCAGCATAGCTAAGTCGATCCTATTGGTGATGGGAACTGTGAGGGGAGGGTGAAGAGCAGGCTGTGTCCTAGACACACAGTGGCCCTGATTGCAGATCTGGCTTTGCAGTGCAAAGGGAAGGGACTCCATCTCAGCCTCCATGACAGGAAGGGTCAACAGGGCAAATAATAGAAAGCAGGTGAAGCTTTGTGTCCAGTGAGCAAGGGGAGCTTGGGGAAGCAGGGAGTACTCCAGGGGCACTGTAGCAGGACCCACCAAACAATCTGTAGCACACATCAGACATGATGAAGGGCAGGTTCCGGGCCCGTGGCTGTCACCACTGTCACAGGACCAGGGAGAGGATGACCAGGGGAGAACCCATAAACAGAGACGCCCACATACCTGGGGTGGCCAAGGACATCCTGCGATACTTCTCCTTGTTTGGGGTGCCCTCGTTGGCTCCCGCAGTTGCTATGGCAAAGGCAGAGGCAGCTGAGAGGGCACTGCGGTTACTGTCCAGTTCACGACATGAGGTCTTTACAACTCCATTGTTGTAGGAAAAGAGTGGGAATTCTGTGGAGAGGAGAGAGCTGACCCTCAGCCATTCCTCAATCCCTTGAGACTGGCAGATACCAGGTAGCTGGAGGACAGCCCAGCTTCGAGAGTGACAGCTCTGCCTTCAAGCTCAGGGCTAGTGAGGGTTCAATGGGGCAGTGTGGGGGCTCTGTTCCCATGTAAGGGTCATGCCACAGTGTCCTTTGAGCTGCCCCAGGGCAGGAAGGCCCAGCCACCCTCTTGCTGCATAGAAGGCTGGCCCAGCCCTGTCGTTTCTCAGTCCTGCTGGGTCCAGGCCTGTTTGAGGACAGCACCATGAGCTATCTTGTTCTTTCAGTGTACTGGGAGCTGACACACAGCCTACCCAAAGTCTGATGTTCACAATTTGTACTGATGAATGCAGTGGGACCAGGACAGCACTGCACTTAGGGTCCTTCCACTTGGGCTGAGATTCTTCCCACCCCTCACTGGCTATGTGACTATGGGTAAGTTATTTCAACTCTCAGAGCCTCAGCAATCTCCTTTGGATAATAGGGATATTTCCAAAGGTGGGTATGAAGATTAATGGAGATAACAGAAGAAAGTACAAGAAGCTATAGAAACTCCATGGAACACCACTGCTGGTAATGACTGCCAGTAGTCATGGAGTCAACTTCAGAAACCTTTAGCTTCATCTTATAAGAGCCTGTAAAACAACTCGTACTTTGTCAGGACAAAGCAGCAGTCCCTGAGCTGCGAGGGGCAAGCGCCGTATTTTAAAGACTTTAAGCTTAGTGCTCTCTCCCTCCCTTCCTTCTCTGAGATAGTCTCTCTCTTCCCTTTCTCTGAGACAGTGTGTCTCCCTCTGTGGTGCAGACAGGCTCTCATTAAGTTGCTCAGGCTGCCTCAAACTCACCCTGTAGCTCAGGCTGACTTGGAGCTTCCCCTCCTTCTGTCTTAGCCTCTCACGTGCTGGGATTACAGGCATGCACGATCACACTCAGGCCTCAAAGCTTATTTTTGAAAAATGGTACTTCTGAGCTCCAGTGCTGTGTGTCTGAGAAGCCAGTCTGGGCTACAGGATGCCCAGGTGGTTTCTCTGACTCCAGGTGACATGGTTTCTTGCCAGGCTTGGAGAGCAATGACGTTGGGATTCAGGCTGTCCCAAGCAGGTGGAGCCGGAGTTTGGGGATGGTAGTGTGAAGTAGGAAGACTTTTTGGGTAGGTAAGGCTCCCTGAGCTGTCTCCCTCCCAGAGCTTTCCTGAGGGTACAGTGATGCTTTATGGGGGATCAGAAACCAGATGGGCTGCTCAAAGACCCTTCAGGGTTGTAAGTTTGATATGTGGGTGGGTGATACCACTGTCTTTGGGAGTCTTTTTTCCTGGTGGTACTGGGAATGAAACACAGAACCTCAAATATCCTTGACGAGAACTCAACCACTCAACCACTGAGCCCTGCCCCCAGCCCTGTTTTCCCTTATTTGAAAGGTAAGAATAACCTAGCTTCTCTACAAGCCTGTTGAGAAGGTAAAAGGGCCTGTCACATAGCCTGACATATGAGGTCCCAGGAAATATTTCTGACTTAAGTTCTCCAATGTGAGAGCCCCAGGTGCTGGGCCACTGGCTGTGCAGTGCAGTTTTGTCTGAAGTTGGGGGAACTTCAGTTGAAGATCAGGACTTAACCAGCCAGTGTCTCAGCACCTACACTCCTCTCACCCCTGGGGATTATGAAACAGAATAGTCTCTGCCCCCAAGAGTGAGTCATAGAAAATAAGGGATGACAGGGATGTGCCTCCCTTTGGTCTGACCTGCTGCCCTCTCCCTTCCTGGGAATCCACCTACAGCTTTGCACTGGTGAGTGGTACCTGAAGAGTTTTTGCTTTTGACTGATTTTGGTGTAGTTGGAGATTTTGTTGGTGAGGTCTCAGTGTCGCCATCATCACTCTGGTTCTGATCCGCATCAGACTCTTGTCTCATGGAGACTTCAGAGCCTGGGGAAAAAGAAGAAAGGAAGGGAGAGAGGGAAGGAGGGAGGGAGGGAGGAAGGAAGGGAGGAAGAAAGAAAGGAAGGAAGGAAGGAAGGAAGGAAGGAAGGAAGGAAGGAAGGAAGGGTGGATGGAAGGGCGGACGGAAGGAAGATGGGCACTCTTCAATTATTCATTGAATGGAAAGTTCATGTCTATAATTTATCAAAGCAAAAAGAAGTTACAAGCCCTCATATCCTGGATGAAGAATGTTCAGCAGTTTACTTGTCACAGGTTTTATCAGAACCTTTTCTGTGCTCATGGATGGGGTGGATTGTCAAAATGGCTTTTGATTAACCAGGATGCTCCGAACCTTAACAGTCACATTCTTTGCTAGAATGCAGATTGGGAAGCCTGGGGATACAGCCCAGTGGTAGACAACTTGCCTGGCCTAGCATGCTTAAGGCCCTGGGTCCAATCCCCGGGTGGAGCGGGGAGGTGTCAAAAAGATGCAGATTGTGTTTAGCTGTGCTATTGTGGAGCAGAGCAGGGAAGTCCCAGTCCCAGCATCCCTGCCCCCTTTCCTTACCCCTCCCTCCCTCCCTGTCTTCCTTTGTTAATTAAATAATAATTTGGGGTTGGGGACTTAGCTCAGTGGTAGAGCACTTGCCTAGCAAGCGCAAGGCCCTGGGTTCGGTCCTCAGCTCTGAAAAATAAAAAAATTTGTGCGCACATGTTTTGTGTGTGCATGTGCTTGCCATGTGTATGGATGGAGGTCAGAGGATAACTTTTGGGAGTCAGTTCTCTTCTACCCTGTGGTTCCCAGTGACTGAACTCAGGCTGTCTGGCTTGCAGGCAAGTGCTCCACTTGCTAAGTTGTCTCAATGGCCCCTTTCTGTTTTGAGACAGGGTCTCATGCACCCCAGACTGGTCTTGAATTTTCTTCATGGCCTTGAACTTCTGATCCTCCTACCTGTATCACAGGTCCCAGTTTTATGTGATGTTAGGGATTGAACCCAGGACTTCATGCGTGCTAGGCAAGCACTCTACCAACTGAGCTACAACCCCAGCTAACAAGCTTCTGGTGATGCTTATATGGCTGGAGTCACAGGTGGTTGTTAACCACCATGTGGGTACTGGGAACCAAACCCAGATTCTCTGCAAGAGTAGTCAATACTCTTAATTGGTGAGCCATCTCTCCAGCCCTCCACTTACGTTTTTGAAACAGGGTGTGTCACTGAACCTGAGCTCACCAATTTGGCTAGGCTGACTGGCCAGTGAGGTCCAGGGCTCCCCTGGTCTCTGCCTTCTAAGCACTGAGATTACAGGTGTGCATCTTTGAGCCTAGCTTTATTCGTAGGTGCTGGTGATTGAACTCAGGTCCTCATGCTTCCTTGGCAAGCACTTTAACAACTGAGTCATCTTCCAAGCACCTTGGTAAAAAGTTCTCAACCACTCTAGGCCTCAGTTTCTCCAACTACATGCTGAGTGCACTTCCGCCTACTTGAAAACCCATCAGAAGCCACAGGTTTTCTCTTTAGAAGACACACCCATCCAGCATACAGAAGCACACAGTTAGACAGGTCTGGGGGTTCCTGGGTCATTCATCAAGCAGAACCATGGTTCCAAGTGTCTTAGGAAGACTGCCTCAGGCTGCATTTCACAAGATTATATTGGGGGCTCAATGCAGTGTTGCACTGGATGTAATTCTATGCCTGTCTAAGGATCCCTTACATTATACACTCTGGCAAGCTGTTACTTTGGTTAGTAACTTTCAGCTGAGCAAGTCACACACATCACCTGTTTGTTACAGTGCATGCCGTAGCTAACATCTCTTGGTGGAGAGTTTCTAGTCGTGCCCTCTTTTCAAAGTCCTCTTCTTCAAAGCCTGGGGTTTCTGAGCAGCCCAGGAGTGTGTGTGCACGTGCGTGTGTACATGCACATTAAGCAAGACTATATTGGTGGTTCCCAGGATATGACCTGATCTGACCTAATACAAAACCAAACAGGACCCTTATAGAATGGTCAGGAAAGGCTGAAGATAAGGAGGTAACAGTTGCCCTAGCAACATTTCTGGTCACTGCCACCACTGTCAGTGTTTAGGTGTGTGAGCTCCATCTAGGCTGTTCCCAGAATACACAATGCCTTCCTCATGCCTCAACCTTTTACACGCCATTATTTTTGTCTGGCATGTTCTCCCTTCCTGTTGGTGAACATCTGGATCTAATGGGTCCTCCAGGATGCTTCTTTGACTCTCTGGATGGTGTCCCCAGCCTGTCCTCTGTGTTTCTCCAGCACCTTTCAAACATAACATGTGTCAGGTAACAGATGCAGTGTTCAGTGTCTGGTCCCTAAGTCAGACTTTGAATCCTTAGGGCTGGAGGCAGTGGGATGAGCTGAACACAGGGATGCAGGATGCCACAGTGGTAAGGACAGGGAAGGCATAACTACTGAGGACTGGAGCTGAGACTCATCTAAAGTGTGGTGATACCCTTGGAGCGTCTGCTGGCCTCCTTTGGCAGCCTGGGCACCCCCATGCTGCAACTGAGGACTTGCAGGCTGGCCAAGCCAAGCCTCACTGTGTGTTAATGGGGTGGCTTTGCCCTCACATTCACTTACTCTGCTTGCTGAGGGCTGAAGGCTCCTCAGGCTTCTCCAGGGTTGGGGTTGGGGTTGGGGTC